TCATCATGAGGTTGATGAATGTGAAGTTTTCCGGATATCACAAACCCAAAGGTTAAATTTTTAAATTAATGGATTTTTTTAAAGAAATGCAGAGAAGCGGTAATAAATGAAGATGATATAACAGAAGTTTTTTATTGATATGACAATGCCTCAATTATCAATCAATTTAACAAACAGTGAAATCTGTAGTATGGATCCAAATTCAAAAAATAATGCTACCGATAGTGAAGTAAAAGAGTTGATTGAAAAAAAAAAAAAAAAAAAAAAATTGATTTACAAGTTAGTTGGAATTATTGTCACAGCAGTTACAGGTCTTGAACAATGAATTCTGTAACTGAATAAGAAACTATGTCTGTCTACAGAATTAAAGAGAAATATTAGCACAGGAAAAACATATTAGACACTTAAAAAAAAAAAAAAAAAAAAAAAACCTCATAAAAAACTTTTTTTTTTGTTACCTTTATCAAAATTTCACGATTTCATATTTAATTTTACTGCCACATACAAGACGCCATAGTTTCCGATCTTGTTGGTACTGTATTTATTAATTAAACATGACAATTTAAATGATTCACTGTCTTGGATACTTAAATAAGGAAGAACAGTACAACGTCTCGAATCTGGACATCCATTATCAGGAATGATCTATAATCCAAACCTCAAAGCCACAAACTTACGCATGTGCGTTAATATGATGAATAAAAGAATGTTAAAATATGTAGGAATTACAGTGAGGAGGAGCTTTCACAAACTCAATTACTTTAACTGGAAAAAAGCGACTTTCTCCTATTCAGCTCTTTTAGGGCAATTACACTTTTTTGTGGTTTCATGTGAGGTTGCAGCAGTTTTTAGAATGGACATCCAAATATATGGAAAACTGAAAGATAGTTCTCTATTACAACATGAACGTGTGATGATTTCAACAGATTCTCTGATTTTAAAACCACTTTTATGCTAAGGTTTATTAAAAATTCAGCTTTGTCCAATTTTTTAGTATAGAGAAGATGTTTTGTTACATATTTGATTAATGTTGCCCTGTTTTCAGTCATGGATGAATTAGAGAGTTAAGATATTCATTTTATATCTTTTGAACATCTTAGATGGCTAAAGATACATTGCATAACACAGTACAAAGTCTCTAATCCAGACATCCATTATCCAGAATGAACTATAATCCGGACCTCAAAGCCACAAGCTTACGCATGCACGTAAAGCCAGTAAAGCGTTTATCCATGCGCGCTTCCGATAGTGAAGAAAGTAACAGAGAACGTTATTGAAAACGAAAAAATTTTGATTCACAAGTTAGTTGGTATTCTCGACACAGCAATTACAGGACTTGAACAATGAAACTTTGCAACTGAACAAGAAATTATGTCTGTTTATAGAATTAAAGAGAAAGTATTAGCCAAAAAACGAAGTAACTTAAATAATTTACATTGATAGAAATGTTTACTAAAGTAAACAAATAAGCTTTCTTTTGTAAATTTTGATACTCTTTAAATCATAATTGCTCTTTATTTCATAAATAACAGTTTCATATTTTTAATTGTATAATTTCTGCATGCCATCTTACCAGATTTAAATTGACGATCTATAATTCAGAAAAACCCCAAATCCGTAATCGCCGAAGTCCCGACGAGTCCGGACTGTGTACTGTATCTTCAAAGCTTATATAAACATTTTAATACTAATGATAAATGGCTGTAACAAAACTATCAATGTTTAATACATTTTAATTATTAATACTTATGTGTCACAGTGAGTTTAGAGAATAATAAATATATATTTTTCGACCAAAATTTGTTATAGCAATTTAAATTGAAATTTTTGAAATATGGTTCGGCAAATCCACTACTCTAATTCCATGAAACAAACAGCTATGACACACATGCATATAATTGCAACTTTCAAACACTATATTTAGTTTAAATATACAATATGCAATATAAAAACACTTTCAATTAATATTTATATATTACTGAAAAGATAAATGTACTAAATATTTTAAAATATAAAACCCTATCTTGTTTAAAAACAATGCAGCCAAATTTAGATAAAAAGATACCAATTAAAGGCAATAATTTATTCATAGCTGATTAGTGTGTGTGTAGGTATATATACATAATTAATCTGGAAACCACTTTGAACACAAATGAAACAAATGGAATGGACATTAAATAAAGCTGTGATTTAAATAAAGTTTTATATTTCCAATTTGCATTTATTCTTAGTGGCCAAAATTTGAACTAATATTTTTTATAGTTTCCTTTCCATCCATGTATTGCATATGCCAAATTTTAAAATATATCAACCAAAAAACCACAAAAACGCCCATGCAGCCAGCCCGTTTGCGGGATTCGAACCTCGGACCGAACTACCAGTGTTCAACGACTTTACCACTCAGCCGCTGGTGGGCCTCAACCAAAAGAGGTCTCCGAAGAGTTACTTTAACTACCCTGTACAAAACAAAGACAAAATCATATACTATTCTTTGGTTTCACGAATAAGTGTTTCATTCTCTCAGATTTATGTAATTAAGAATTCAATATGTTCCAATATACACTCAAGAGCCAAAACATTATGACCAGCCCTACATTTTGCGATGAACGCGCCTGGATGACGTGGAAGGCACGTGAGCAGGTGTAAGTGGTATTTAACTGCTGCTGGAGAGTCTGAAGAATCATTCTTTCACTTACTTCTTTGTGTGATGGGAAAGGCTGCGGATCTAAGCGACTTTGATAGAGGGCAGATTGTAATGGCTCGAAACAAGTATTTCCGAAACTGCACGACTCGTGGGTTGTTCGCGATCTACAGTTGTTAGTACGTATGAAAAGTGGATGAATGACGGTGAAACCAGCAGTAGACGACATGGTGTTGGACGTCCACACGCTATCAAAGAAAAAGGTCGTCGGAGACTGTCTCGCATGGTGAAGCAAAACCGGAGCCAGACAGTGGCTCAGCTGACAGCCGAATACAATGCAGGGCCAAGTAGTAGAAAAGTTTCGGAGCACACTGTTCAGCGGACACTGTTGGATATGGGGCTACGCAGCAAACGTCCCACTCGTGTGCCTTTGTTGACCAAGCGTCATCGCCAACTGCGCCTACGCTGGGCCCGGGAACATCGCGACTGGTCCATGGATCAGTGTGAGAGAGTTGCCTGGTCAGATGAATCATGGATTGTCATTCATCACGCCGATGGCCGTTTCAGGATACACCGTCTTCCAGGCGAACGATTGCTCCCTCAATGCACAGTAGGTCATACACAGGCCGGTGATGACGGTATTATGCTCTGGGGGACATTCTCTTGGGCGTCTCTGGGACCCATGATTGTGGTAGAGCAGACCATGAATGCTACAGGATATCTGAACATCACTGCAGACCAGTTGCACCCTTACATGGCCTCTGTTTTTCCAGCTGGAAATGGAATGTTCCAACAGGACAACGCCCCATGTCACAAGGCTACAATTGTGTTGGAGTGGTTCCAGGAACATGATGCTAATTTCCAGTTAATGTCCTGGCTGCCTAACTCACCGTATCTCAATCCGATAGAACACATTTGGGATGTCATGGGACGGCAGCTCGGTGGTCAAAGACCACTAATTCGCAATATCTCGGATTTGCATGACCGTTGCTACAACATCTGGTACAATCTGTCTCCAGCCATCTATCAAGGACTTGTGGCATCCATGTCAAGGCGGGTTGAAGCTGTGTTGCACGCCAAAGGTGGCCCAACTCATTATTGACAGGTGGCCATAATGTTTTGGCTCTTGAGTGTATAATGGCTTAAAATTAATTTTAATAAGTTATGTCGAAGAACACAGTAGTTGCTGCCACGGTCAAATTAAATATTTTTGCTTTTATTTTCATTTATGACTATTTTTAAGGCAACACACATAAACTGGCACAGTAAGAACACTTGTTCTTAAACTACATTAGCACAGTCAAAAGTCGTTAATCCGGACTTGTCGGGACTTCGGCGATTCCGGATTATAGATCATCAGTTTAAATCTCGTAAGATGGCATGCAGAAATTCTAAAAACCGTAATTTATGAAATAAAGAACAATTATGATCTAATTGGTATCAAAATTTACAAAAAAAAAAAAAAAAAAAAAAAAAAAAAAAGCTTGTTTACTTTATTAAACATTTCTTTCAATGTAAGTTGTTTAAGTTGCTTCGTTTTATGTGATAATACTTTCTCTTTAATTCTATAAACAGACATAATTTCTTGTTCAGTTACAAAGTTCTGCTATTTAAGTCCTGTTAATTGCTGTGCCGAGAATACCGATTAACTTGTCAATCGAAATTTTTTCGTTTTCACTAACTTCTCTGTCACATTCTTCATGTCTTTATCCATTTTTTGCAGCAATTCCACTTTTTGTTTGATGGACATCGAAACATACTTTCGTTTTGTACGATCCTTTTGGAGCTCCAGAATCAGAAATTCTATTTGACATAATCGAAAGTTCAAGTTTACTTTTATAGTATTACTCTTACAATCTACAAAAAATAATAAGCCGGATCCAATTCGAAAATTAAGGAACAACGCAATCATCAACATTAACTGAAATAGATAATTAGATAATTTTAGCTTATACTGTCCGTTATACATAAAACGTGCACGCGAAAACATATTCTGCACTTGCGCACACGCATATGTGCAGACATAAAAGGTCTTACGCGCACGCGTAAACGCTTATGCGCATGTGTCAACGCGGCGCAGGCGCAGAAAGTTTTTAGCTTTGAGGTCCGGATTATGGGTGTACGAATTAATGACTTTTGACTGTACTAAACAAAATTCTGAAATATCTTTTTGAAGCAGGGACAAGCAGCAGGCAAGTTTAGCAGCACAAAAGCTAGTAAGAAAATAAACCATACTCAAGAAAAAAGCCTGGAACAAAAGTAAAAATTTACAGATTCCAAAGGGGTTTTGGTTCGTTTTATCTGGATTCGTTAACATTAGAGCTTCAAAAATTTGTTCCCTCCCTCAATGGCCACTTACAGGTATTAGCCCCTACTAAGTCCGGTAACGGTGTCTCTATATTATGAGGGCACCAAACAGGTGGGCCACCAATCTGAGGCAGATGGATTACATACATGCCTTCTCCAGGATTCAAGCCCTTCGGTGCTGCAGTCAAGAGTCCCTCACCAGCTTCACGTCTTGGCGGCTTAAAATTCATAACTAACTGAAGTGTTTGTGTAAGTTAGCTACACCAAAGCAATATGTAAGAATCATATGACAACTGGAAAAGACAGTTTGAAGATCAACCCGGGAGAGGTCGCACGGGGCACAGAGTCCCCACATGCGTCAAAAATCAACAATCCCAACCGGAAATATTTCATTTTAATGAATCATCCTTCTAGTATCCTCCTGTTTGATACTCTCCTTGGAATGTGTATTGTTATTTTTGACTGTTTTTCTTTTCTGCGAGAGAAGCAATCGTTTCTTGGAATCCATGAGGGAATGGGGTGACTCATGCGACCGTTACTGCTTGGAAATATTCATTAGTAGCAAACTAGCTTCGTGCTCTCGAGTGTTGCCATTGTTGTTCTGTTGGATTATTTGATAGATAATAGCTTACAAAGGTAAATTTACCGAATATGAAAAAGAGATGGAACGTTTGTGAACTCTATTAGATGAAGTTGAGTCTTCTGAAGGAGAAATTGATCAAGATAGTGATAATGAATCTGATGAAGAAATATACAGTTCTCATGACAGCGAAAGTGAATTTGAGCAGAATGATGAAGACGACGGAAATCCTGATTTAGTAAAAGTAATTTTATTAGCAAAAAGAAGAGTTTCGCAGAAAGGAAAACCAAATCAAAAAGTGAAAAAGTATCAAATTATAACTCATTTACCAGGATTAAAAGGAACTGCACGCAAAAAAACGGAGCCTCTAGAAAGTTGGGAATTGTTTTTTAACACTAAAATGATACGATCCATTGTAGAGTGTGCAAATATTTATATTGAAAAAATATCCGTAAATTACACCAGAGATCGCGATGTCAAAACGACAAATGATGTGCAAATAAGAGCACTTTTTGGGCTTTTACATCTGTAAGGCTTGCATAATTTGTCACATAAAAATACGCAAGATTTGTGGGCTACTGATGGATCAGGCATTGAAATTTTACAGAACACAATGTCATATAAAAGATTTAATTTTCTTCGAGGGCGGTGTTCCTTTCGTCAATATATACCCAGCAACCCATAAAAGTATGGAATCAAAATATTTGCCTTAGTAGATTCAAGAACTTTCTGCAGCTATAACATGGAGATATAGGCAGGACAAAAGTTGGAAGGTCCCTTTAAATTTGAAAATTCACCATTTGAAATTACAAAATGGCTGTGCACCCCTTTGTTTGGGCAGAAATGTAACAATGGATAGTTGGTATACGAGTTATCCTCCAGCAAAAGAACTTTTATCAAAGAAGTTAACTATTGCAGGAACCCTGAACAGAAACAAAGCTGAAATTCGCACCAAGTTTGTCCAAACAAAAACTAGGAACGGTTATTCTTCTATATTTGGGTTCTAAAAGATTCGTACGTGCCTAAAAAAATCAAAATGTGCAATTTTGTTATATACAATGCATTGCGATGATGCCATTGATGAAAGTGATGATACGAAGAAACCAGACGTAATTTACTTTCATAATGCAACAAAAGGTAGTGTAGATAAAGTTGATGAAATGTTAACATTATACTCGACAGCTCGAAAAACCAACAGACGGCTGATGGTCGTCTTTTACTGTGTTGAACGTCACTGCAATAAATACCCAAGTTGCCTTATTCTCAACAATATCGAAATAGAAAATCCAAAAAAAAAAAAAAAAAAAAAAAAAAAAAAAAAAAAAAAATTGGCTATCTCTTATATCGCGCCTCACATAGAGATAACAAAAAATATGTCAATGCTTCCTAAAGTGTCTCGTGAAAGCATCGACAATGCGACTTCTAGTGTATCAGAAGAACACCCATCAAAGAAACCAAAACTTGACGAAGGCCGACATGCTATGTGTCCGAGATCCAAAGACAATAAAACTACAATTTCTTGCAAAATATGTGATAATTTTTCATGTAAAATTCATTCTTCCTATGTTTGTCAGAAGTGTATGTTAGCTTCCGCCCCGATTAGGCACATACTTATTTTGAATGGAATTTTTTCTTAAATATTGAAATATGTTTTTTTAAGTAAAGAAGTATAGTTTCTAAATGAAATATTGCAATTATTTATAATCAAATGGTTTTTATAAAATATATGACACATTTTCTGATTGGGGTGACTGCGTCACCTCGCACGATCTCCAATGTTAGCGTTGGGTGCGCACCTTCTGCTGTGTTAACTACAAGCAGTTACTTTTTTTAGGATGCAAAGAAGAAATAGGAAAATTAAAATGGATAGTTAAGGACTACTGCAAAGTAAAGTTGGTATTTGGATTTACATATTTATCTGACCTTAACACAGACATATATGTTCAGTATCCAGTTTATAACATCTTCTTTGCCAGTCTCAAAAACAGTAATGTTTTTTTAATAATGATAATAATGCAATAATATTACATATGTTGAACCATATTATTTATTATTTTAAAGCATTACTATTTGAGTAGAAAAAAACACATCTTACAGGATATTAAAGAGAACACAGCTAAAGATTTCATTGTTAAAAAGGCTATATGTATATATCAGAAATGGCAACTTAGCATATAAAAACTTTTGTTAGGTAATAAAAGCTTAAAATATTACCCAATCCTTTTGTAATACTGTTATTAGATTTTGTGTCTAATATTGAAATGTACTTAAATTAGGCATCATCATACAGTTTTGTACATTGATTTAATAACAAAGAAATCTTGATTTCCTATTAAAAATTACTGTATTTTAATATATCCTCCAATAAATACTGAATATTATTAAAATATAGTAAAGAAATATTGGTATGGAAGCAATGTAAGGAAAAATTTCATAAGCGGCAATACCGTTAAATTACGAAAAAAATTATAATTTTTTACTATTGATCTCCGATGCAATTAATAATAATGAGCAGTGTATTCAAATTATCTACATCTCATAATTAATACACAATCCTCCATGATACATTTTATGGTATTCATTTAACGACGATACGGGTTCACAACAAAAATATTTTTATAAAAAAAAGCTATACTGATGCAAATTCGCACTACAATTAATACCAAAACATTCTGCAAAAGTACCTATTTATTAAATTTTGTACTTTACAAGGATCCAAAGTTTACTAAATTAAGGTAGGCACCGCAGATTTACGTAGACAAAAATATGGTTCTAATATATTACATAATGTGTTTACCACATTTGTATTCATACGTTCTCCTGCTGCAAATAATTAATATACGAAATTAAATTTCATTTAATAAATACTGCAATTCAAGAATGCTATACATTTATGATTCAACATGTACTCAATACCTGAGGGCAGCGAACGCCTTGAAGCATTGCGCACACTCAGAAATAACAATAAAACAAAATCAGTGACAAAATATAATAAGCTATTATTGACTGCTAACTTATAAAAAATAAATTTATACTTTCGAATATATACCTTTTTATCCTTAGAAATAAAAAAGTTCGTACCTAAAATGGCCTATTCACGGGAACACGTTTTCGCAGGCCAATCGCAATGAACCAAAATTCTATACGCGAATCACGTGAACAAGAGCAATACAACACTTAATGATACTATTTTTCCCGACACGATTAAATCGCACATTTTCAGAGCCTTCAGATGAATTTAAAAAAATTAATTTTTGAAAATTTTATACACATACATATATTTTTTTGTAAGTTAGGCTTAGTCCATTATGGAGCTGAACAACTACACTTCGATACTTCCCGGTAATCTAGATCACTATAAGCTGGAACAAACCAATGCCAGCAAAACACATCAGCTCATACTGTTCTGCTTGTAGAATTTCTGAGATCAGCATATGCAGGTAAAATATTATAATTTAAGACTTACCACTGTCTTACATCATCACTGACAAATGCCACCACAAACCCGAAATCGCATTTCGGAGATGAAGAGTCCGAAGGGCGATTGGGCGGCGTGAAGAGAGAAATTTAAGATGACTTTCTGCGGATGTTGCCATTCTGGCGAATCTAATCTTTTACTCTGTCTACGAAACGAATGTCTACAGCGCTCTGTCGCCGTGGGTGTTTAAGAAAGAATCAAAGATATATTTTCTTACTATCATAGTTTAATCCTCTGGCAGCAATATTTAAAAGAGAAAAATATATTAATACTAAGGGCAACGCTAAGTGATTTGTGAAATATGTAGCTATTATTACATGTCATTATTATTACATTTTTAAGTACACGTCAATGGAAAAAAAAAAAAAAAGTTCTTATTGCATAATTTTGAGCTGAATTCATAGGTTTTAAATTATTACTGAATGGATGAATTAAAAAAAAAAAGAACAAAATGTATGGACTGCATTAAACCAAATTAAATTCAAAGAAAATTCACAATTAAATTAAAATTTAATTATGCGGATCAGCCAAATTTAAACTAAATACTTTAAAATTGCCTATAGAGAGTTTATGCTTTGAACACATATATATCTTAATTTACTTTTTAATGAAGTTTAAATAATCTCTTGCCAATTATTACTTCACTGTAGAACTGCTACTGAATTACTATAAGCGTGGTCGATAGTACTAATCGGTATTAAGGTATTACTAATAAATAAATTTATTTTAGATAGCAGTTTTTCATGATCAGTAATATTTCAAAGAGATCCGTAAGATCTTAATTTGAATACTAAGGAAGAGATTTTGTGTAATACTGAGGAAGAGTAGCTAAACAGAAAATATCTAAGGACTGACCAGAGCTTGAAAAAAAAGGACAATCACCCCTAAAAATGGGTTTCTTTCACGGAAACAGATATTACACTGTTCGATGAAGAAGAAAAATGTCGATGACCAGAAGTTTAACCACACAAAAAGAGCAGATACTTCTTCGATGCTCTTGCTTTGCTAAGAGAATGATATTGAAGATTATTTTTTTTTTATTTATATTTATCATGCAACAAGTATCTTCTTTACACTCGAGGAAAAAATACGATCTCTGTGTGTGTTTTTGGAACTAATATGACGCTCACTACGGAAGACTATAATTTTAATATGTTAGTGGTTTTGAGATCCAGGTAAGGAGTAAAAGGTCTCCAGGAATTTTTAAGCGGCATTTGGCTAATTCTAAGTCTCAATAACTGTGGCAGTTTTCCCTTCTTTTAAATGTATAGTACCTTCTTCTAGTGGTTTTTGAAACAAATATAGTACTAGATTTACATCTGCTAGATGCACAAATAATATATAATGGGAAATCGGATGAGGTTTCAAGTAGCAATTGTGAATTTAGAGTGCTTTTGATACGATTGTGCAAAGGAATTTTGAGAAGAAAAATGAAGAAATCTGCATATTCAAAGAAGAAATTCATTTATTATTCGAGACAGTTTGAGTACGAGAAGCGAAATCATGCACCGTGGGCACTATCAAACAAAACTAAGATGCTGGCATTTCTTAAAGCATTAATGCCATGTATTAATGTAATGAATTCTGTAAATCTTCAGCAGTAACTGAACGAAAGATAGGCAGAAATGCTTTATATTTTTAAAAGGGGAAAACACCGATTTAATACTGCAGCTTTAAGATTTTATTCCCAAATCAAGTTAATTTGACAAATTCTGAATTTAGAGAAATGAAGTTTGAAAGAAAACTATGTTTTAGAAATCTTCGAAGAAAGTTATTTGTCATACACTAAGGATGGAATAAAATGATCAGATCGGAAATAAATGACACAATACAGGCTCCATTAAATAAAGGATAAAGATGCAAAGGTATAGTTTGAACCACATGAAAATGCCGTTTAGATTGAAAGCGAAAATAAGAAAAATTTATTCAATTTTTCAAAGTTTGATTATCCGGTAAATATTTTTCAATTCAAAAAAAGGTATGTTTGTTACAAAATATCATCGCTCTGAATGAGAAATTTAGTGTCAAAGCAGAAATTTCATTTCAGATGTCATAATTTATATTAACGAAAATTAAACAAATACGGGAAAGAAAAGGTCGAAAAATGTTTAAAGAATTTATGATGATTATATAGATTATTATCATATGTCCAGAATTATAGTTTACTAAAATTATAATTTTTGATTAAGTGACTATAGACAGGAAAATATCGGAAAGAAGTAGGTTCCGTACATTATTTTCTTATTTTTTAAAACATTTTTATTCCATTATATTTTTTTATCCTCCCCGTTTCACGAAATTATTAACATTTCAACTGGTTCACTGAGGTATGGTATTGGACTTTTTACTTCACCTTTCAAACAACTTCAGTTTTTTTAAAATTTGTTTTCTAATTTCTTATGTATTTTATTTTATTTTTGTGCAAGTTAATCAACTGCTACACTAGGAATTTTTAAAAATTTCTTTTCTGTTTTTACAAGCCTAAAATTAAATGTACTATTTCCCCCCCTGCAGCTCAATGCATATTTAAAAGATCTATTATACTTTAATATTTTCACTTTATTATAGTTTTGCGGTATATATAAAAATTTTTTAAACTGTTCATTATTAAAAATATACTTTTTGTTATTCAATTTTTTTCCAACTCTTAATTTTCGTCAGCATTTGCAATTCTTTTCATCTTTAAATTTTACATTTGCTTTAAATTACGAATAACAGGGCATAGTGATCAGGTTAAATACTGCTTTGAGATAATCAAAAGTATTGCAATTTAACGGTTATTTTAACAATTTTATTTCGTTAAGAATTAATGGTGTTTCGTCTGCAGTAGAAGTGGTTAAGTAGAAGTAGAAGTAGCATACGGCTCGTGAGTCCGCATTCCAAGGAAAACTTACGAAATTTCCGTATTAGATACATAGATGCGTTCATAAACTGACTTAAATTTTTAAAATCTTTTTTTCACCAATGAAAAACTAGAGACAGCTTGAGTACAGCATGAGTTAGCTCTTAAGAAGTGCATATACAGAGTCGTTAGTTCATTTATGAACAAGAATCTTGAGAAATCATACAAATTTTTATTAAGAATCGAACGCGAAATCTTGCATCTAGCTGAATGTACTGATCATTGAATCATATGGACGCACGAGAGGAATGATTTTATTTTCTCACTGTCTCCTTACTTAGAAAGGAGACTACGAAGAGGACACGAGATGCAATTGGCCAAATCAAAGGGATAACGATCTTTTACCATATTTTATACTCAGTGATTTTAATCTATGCTTGTAGAGACATTAGGTAATTTCGAAGCAGGAGAGATGAAAAATGAGCAAGGCTTTCGCCGAGACTCGAACCACGGGCCTCTTGAATACGTGCCGAGCGTGCTGACCTTTACACTACGAAGGCATGCTAAGAAGACGGGAGAAATACCTTATATGCTGAGTTAGTAAGTTTGTGATTCTACTGAAGCTTTTGAACTCTGGTGGAACAAATAATCTCGAACTTTAAATTGGACCTATAATATTCGCTTTTGTGTTTAGAATGACTAAAGCTGTATATTTTTCAGTTCTGTTGAGGCTATTTTTGGTTTGATAAAATATCTCAAGGGATTGTACTGAAAATATAAAAGAAGTAAATGACCAGAAATTGCTTAGATATTAATTTTTGAATTGGTTTCTAACTAAATGTTTTTTCTGAAGAGCGAAGGTAATTTCGTTTCGTTTGGAATTTGGATATCTTGCTTCCACTAATGATCATTATATAAATACATAAAAGACATACCATTGACAGAAGTGATACGTGATTCTACTGCTTTCGGTACATTTTCGTCAGCAATGTCCTCTGAGAAAGCAATGTGATCTACACCTGATAACTCCTTCTCTGATATATCTTCAGCACTTTGATTAGATGGCTTCACCTGAAGATAAAAAATTCTTGAAATCCAGCATAGTTAAAGAAATTATACAATTTTTTCAAGCATGCGAAAACCTCAAGAAGTTTTTTAAAAAATCTTATGAAATGTACAAATTTTTTGTAAAAATATTGAAATTTTGTGAGCAATTTCACTCATTTCTTGAAATGAGATTAGATGGATTAACATTACTTCTGCAGAATTTACTTTGTTTGTATTGCGAAACTTTTAAATAAACAACAAGTATTGCCAGATTCAAAATACTAATAAAACCAACGATTTATTAGAGCGGTTAGTATAATGCTTCAGGTTCATTTTATTATCCATATAAGCTTTGGTAACATATTTTTGATAATTTGCATTGATACTGTGAATGAAATAATATATTTCCTATAATCACGATTTAACCAAAAGACTAAATTAAGCAGATGAATGTCTTTGTGAATTTCAATTATTTAATTTAGAAAAAATATGTATTTGTCTAAAAATAAGATGTAAATATATTCTTTTTTTTCATTAATTTATGGATTTAACGCATAAAATTTTAAAATTGGACAATTTTAGGAAAAAAACGAATTTTAATAAATTTAAACTAACATAACTTTTAGTTAAAATAATGAATATTTTAATTAAAATATCTGTATTTAAATTTAACCGATGAAAGATATGCAAGTAAGTCATGATGAAATTCGTTGATAGTTTAAATTTAGCCTTATTTAAAATTAATTTTCAATGAACAGAAGGAGTGCATTTTGAAGATCAGCGCATGATGTTTTATTCTTTCTTACGGAATAAAACCATTTTAAAGAAAGATATGCTTTTGAAGAAACAAGGCTACATCTTTTTTTGAAATGAATGAGTCCTCATCATTTGAAATTAACAAAAATGTGAATCTTTCCCTTCCAAGCAAAGAAAGTATTAATTTCAGTGTCATGTTTTTGGTAAAAAATAACGCATCTATTACTGCTTACTGTTACTGCATATATTTACTGTTGTTTCAAAGTATAGCCTTTTATGCAAATCGGCTCACTTTACAAACCGAGAGGGCAGAAAACCTTCATAAATTTTATTGTGTTCGCTTTAGTATCAAATTTAACGTCTAGAACCTGTGTTGGCAACTACTCCGGTAAAAGAAAAAAAGGAGAAGAAAACAGTTAATTGATTCGAGCTTTTTTGTTAACAGAGAGAAAACCAGATGATAACCCGTAGAATTAGCATTTTTTATTTAGAACTTTAACTTGAACCTGATTTTTGGGAACTTTTGAATCGGCTGTAATAGAATATTCTTGATTAAAGGATTAGCCTTTTAATCTAAAAATATAAATAATATTATGTTAATACAAAACTAAGAAAAGCTAGTCATGTTTATGATTATTTCTACGTGATGAATGATTTATTAAAGAAGACGTTAGGTTTTTCCTAGCAGCTCTCTGGAGTATAATACAGCATCAAGAAAATAATCAAAGAGGTAAGTCTTGAAATTAATTTCCCCTTTATATTAACAGATTTAACACAAATTGGAGTATTACCATTTTATTTAAAAGACACGCAATAATTTGTAACCTTCTGCTATAATTGCCGCAATACCTGGAACTTGATTTTAAGCTTCTGAAGAATGATAAAAAAGTGCTAAATAGAAGAACTGTGAATATCGTTCTTTTGTTAGTACTTTTTGATAACTGAAATTCTTTTTTAATTTGATGATTATTTATAACGGCCAAAGAGGAATCTTTTTCATCGGATAAATTAATCTCAGAACAAACTAATGTAAAGGGTCCACTAATACACATCATACCTTCTGTAAGCCTTAACGGTAGTTAATCGGAAGCTGGTACTTGTACATACACAGACTTGTCTCTTCATCAACATAAATTTCCTAATTCTACACGGCTCCAATTTTTCATTTGTATGCTTGTTGCTTAATAATTAGTTAGTTTCGTTCTAATCTTCAAATTAGCTTTTGATCCACTTCTACTCAACAGACTTCTTGAAATTTGTATACATTCATATCTACGATGACAACGGAATGTTCCACAATGCTACGTTTCAAAATTTGGCACATATATTTTTTAAAATTAAATACTGAACCTTTTTTCGTCTTTGTATGAAGTAAAAAGGAAGTATCGTAATCCCGAAAATTTTCAGGCATCCTATTTCAACGAAAATATCCATTTTGACCGTTATCGAATGCAATTTAACGATGTTTTTGAGTAACATCTGTACGTAGGGACAGAATAAAAGACTCGTTGCTACTTTGGTAGACGGTTGCACGGATTTTTGGCGATTTACATTGGCGCAATTTTTGGCGCGGTTTTTACAGTCGTCAGCCATCTTGAAAAATGCTGTTTTTAGATATTACACGCATAGTAAAGTATTCGAAAATTTAAAAAAATAAATATCGTTAAAAATAATGGATTAATTTTTTGTTGAAAACGTTGTTTTCTAAGATGGATGGCAAATGTAAATAAATACATTTACTAAGAGTATAAAATGCTAAAGTAAGGTTAAATTATTACTTTCATATAATAGAATAAAAACATCGCTATAAAAAATTTCGGCAACATTTAATTGGAATAAAATATTACTTAAATTGAATATTGAATTAAAAACATCCTACAACGTTTAAAACAAATAAAATTTTTAAATTACTTAAATTCAAATCCTTTAAAATAAGTTTTATGAGATATAATTATTTAACTTTAAAACATATGTGGCAATAAATATCTCAGGAATTTTTGTAAACACTGTATTAATTTTTTAATAAAAACTGAAATATACAATTATAAAGTAAAAGAAAAATATGTACTTACATTTTTTTACGTATTTTACCTGTTGTATATTGATAAGTACCAGAAAAAAAAAAGATCTTCATCTGTGATCTACATCTCTCGCACTTCATTGAAGAAGCAATTAGCGAGGTTTCCTCCAAAAATGTAAAATAAATTTCCTCTGACCCTTGTAACACTAAATAAATCTTTGTTTAGGAAAGCCAGGTTGGCCAAAATAAGGTCTCAAACGGCAATTTTTTTATTCCAATACCAATAGTTCTTGGTAATTACCAAGAAATTTAAGGCCCGCAAAGCACCTGGGCATGATACTATTAGTAATATTGCCATCAAGAGACTACCCATGAACATGATTACGAAGTACACAAGTATCGTAAACGCCTACCTCAACATCAGGGGGGCTACTTCCCCAATTGCTGGAAGCACGCTAAAATTATATTATTGCCAAAACCAGGAAAGGATACTACCCAGCCCGAGGGCTACAGGCCCATTAGCTTACTCTCAGGGCTAGAAAAAGTTTATGAACGTGTTATCCTAAATCGGCTCAAGCCCTTCTTAGATGTACTTCCGCCCGAACAATTCGGATTTCGCGCAAAATTATGTACTTCCAAGAAGCTGGTAAGGCTTGTGGAATTTTGTGGAGATGCCTTACACCACAGACAAAATGTTGCCATCCTCATGCTGGACGTGGCGAAAGCTTTTGACCGCGTCTGGCATGAGGGGCGGATTTACAAGCTTATTAATTTCAACTTTGAAAAGGGAATGATTGAGCTCATTACTTCATTCATCACAAATAGAAGCTTTTCTGTCTTGTGTTAGTCGAACACGTGGACTTGACTCCGTTAGCTCAGATAAACCCCAGTGAGAACGGCCCTTGTCCACGTGTTCGACTGGCTCCGCTTTGCCTGCAGTTCAGATTTTTTGACTCGCTGCCCTAAGGGAAAAAAACTGGTTTTGGAGATGGATCGGTTACGTCAGTTGTGTTCGTTAGCTCAGATAAACCCAATGGGAACGGCTCTTTACAACTTTTACAGTGATATCTGTTTGTGTGTATATGTGTGTAGAGTTTGTCATCTATGATAACTTTTATATAAAACTTTCAGAAATTTCTAGCTTTCCGTATTTAAGCTTTCTGGATTCATATAAAGATTTGGTGGTTGTGTCGAGTTGATTAGATTTCGGGTAAAACTGGGTAACCGGAAGTTGGATAACCGGAAACAAACTGTGTTCCATGAAAAACTATGTTAAAATGTAATTCAAAACGTTTAAATCTTAGTATTTAAGAATTTTATATAAATATTAAAAATATATTACATTTTGTTTACTAACTATCATTCGGAAGTGACACGTTACTTAAAGCACGCTGCTATTTAAAACTTGGAGTTAGGGAGCGGTCGTTTGTTGGCCACTGACCCATGCGTTGACCAAAATTTTGTACATGTTTTTGCTGAACGATGAAACTAATCACTCAGAAATTTTTATTTTTGAACTGCTAAACATATCAGAAAATAATCTGCCAAATGGAGATTTTCGATATTTTTAATTTACAAGTTTTGGCGATTTTTCCTGTTTACGATGATCATGCGGCTGCTAACAAAAACATATTTTTAAAGGAAAATTAGGAAAAAGAAATTCAATGAACTGAATGTGAATTGACACCATCGAAGCGATCGGAAGATCTTAAAAGAAAATGAAGTGACGCTTTTCATTGCTATGCTAATTAGAAGGAGTAACTCTCCAAATTTCCGAGGCAGTGAATTTATTTTTTCCCATTCTTTCTAAAAATCGAGAATGATAAAAAAAAAAAATACATAGAAAATATTTTAAATTATATTGTTTTAGTTGAGTGCATCAAAAAGAGAAAAACCTCCTTTTTTTCTTATTACAATATTCTTCGTCATACATGATTAAAAATAAAATCATTAGGGGTTTTACAATATTGGACATTAAATCAAAAATTGTCAAAGTGAAATTTAAATCATTAGAATATGATCACTCTTATACATAGGGTAATTTAAAAATATCGGGCTGAAATGAAAAGGCAGGTAGATAAGACCAAAACAAGTGGATTTTGTGTGGGGAAATGAAGCGTTGAGTGCTCTGTTGAACGGCAGGTAAAAGCATTCTGTTGGTGTAAGTCAACATTTCTTGTGCGATTTGAGAAGTATGCATTGATACACTAACGTGGAGTTTGCTCATATATGCATTTTATCTACATTTATGGCTGGGGCTAAAAAAGAGCACCTACTCAAAGGAGACACAGAGAACGATTCCCGAATGCATTTTTTAAGCAGTTGCTCTATTTTTGTTCTCAGCCCCGTTGATAAGATAGTACATATTAGGGAGCTCACCTTTCCTGCACTAATTCCTACGGCTTGGAAGGGGCACGAGAAATGACGATTTACGCCAGCAGAACGCTTTCATCTTTTGTTCAACAACGCCCTATTTCTAAACGCACATTTCTTTACAAAATCTGCATATTTCGATTTTATCTAATACTACTTACATACCTTTACATTTTGCCAGGTATTTTTGAAACACTTCGTATATGCCATTTCTGTGCAATTACTTTTAATATTCTTTAAAATTCTGTTAAGGTCTCAGTACGTGTTCTGGGTGTTCCACAATTACACTTTTGATACGACAGGGCAAAATATGGTATGACGATTGAAAAGAGTTTTTTAATTTTAGTGCACTTAATTCTGAACTTTAAAACTCTTTATATATATGTATATTACATTTACACAAAGAAATGCCGACTATTGTCTAAATATTAAAGGAACCAATATTAAACAACATAAATAACAAGAAGAACGTGAGTAAACTTGCAGTACTCAAGTTTCAAAAGTGAAAAAGAGCAATCTCATTCAGTTACGAGAACGAAAAAAAGTGTCTCATAAAACGAGCTATTCACGTCATGCTGATTTTTCTGACTAATTATTGGTTCCTTTAGCGAAAGTTCTTTGACATATTCTTTTGTACCTTACAGTTATATGTTTTGCCTTTTAACTTGAAATTAACTTTTCGATAAAATGCTTAGTATAATCAGTTATGAAGTTTTTTATATCATTATATGGTTTTACCAAAATTTTGGTTCTAATTATACTGCCAGCCTCATCTTATGAGCCTAGAACCATTTGGAAGATTTTTTCCAAGTTTTAGAAGAGTTCTTTTCGTCGTGCATTGCTTGGAAAATGCCTAAGACAAAAATTTCAGGAGTCTGCTATTAGTTTAAGCATACAGATCATAGTTTGATGTTTTGTAGACACAGCCGAGACAAGGATGAGGCAAATGAGGCAGTCGTCTCAAGTGAAGGGCTAGGAAGGAGGCTAAATTAGCTACGAAAGTTTAGAAATACATTAAAAAAATTAAGTTATGATAGTTAACTTACAGTTTTGAGATATACAGAGAAGTAACATTTTAAAATAAAAAATTTAAATCAGTAAAAAGGGCCCTAATTCTTGAACACTTGCGCCATTCGCATGCTTTTCTTAAATCAGTTAACCAAATTAAGCAATTAATGATTAATTATTTAATGCTTAAAATTGGCAAAATTAATATTACATATTTTATATAATTTTCAACTTGTTTTATTATATTATATATTTATAAAAAGTTCAAATTTATAGAAGGCACTGAGTGATAAATCATTGCAATGGCTTGAACCTGATAGCAAGCAAAT